TATAGTAATTGTATTACAATGTGTATTAAAAATCGTGTTTTAACATAAAATTATTTAATTATTGCAATTAATAATATTTATTACGTTCTTAACTTCAACTGTATAAAATTTTAGACTTGTCAATATTTTGTTGCTCATTTGATACAACTTTGAACGAAAGTATACGTTCTTCTTCCGGTTATAATTTGACAAGGTTTGTTCTGTTTTTCTGCGTAAGTTTTTAAAATCCAATTTTTCGTTAAAAATCCTTACCCTTTTCTATCGCATATTAGTTACATATTATATAGAAATACGTATTAAATTTTCTTTATAAATATATCTAGAATTCAGTAGTACAGTGGCCATTTTTCTTGTTTGTTCCAGGTGGTTCTAATATCCAACTTCTATTCAGAATGGTAAATATTAAATCTACTCAATCTTTATAATTAGCGTAAATTTCTTACAATTTGTACTTATAACACGCTTAATTATTCTATTATTCACAATAACGTATTGTGTATTGCAAGATATACGATAAAAATACAGTAGATTGATGTAATCTAACCTCGACATAGTAAAATATCTGAATAACAGTAATTAAATTTGTATGTGCCTATATGTGCTATGAGTACTTTTATTGCAATATTCTTAACTATTTATGATATTTTTTTTAGCCACGAGAAATCAAAGAAATTAAGGACTTTCTTTTAAAGGCTAGAAGGAAGGATGCAAAATGTAAGTATTTAGAATATAAATTCTTTCCTTTTTAGATTTATAATATGACATCATATGTATTAATATGTATTTTTTTTCTAATTGTTACAATTCAGCTGTAAAAATCAAGAAGAACTCTGACAATGTTAAGTTCAAGGTTCGTTGTTCAAGATTTTTGTATACCCTTGTAATTACAGACAAGGAAAAGGCAGAGAAACTAAAGCAGTCCTTACCTCCAGGTATTTAAGTTAAATATACTAATGTGTAATGAACATTAGTTTGCAATGAACAGAAAATTTAGTGAATTAAAATTTTTATTCTCACTAACAAATATTACTTAATACATTTTCAGGTCTTCAAGTAAAGGAGGTAAAAAGATGCGAACGAATGTAATTAATAAAATAAAGTAATTTTACAAACCTATGTGTGTTTATTTTCTCTATAAATTACAATATAAAAATGAGTTTAAGAAAGTTAAAATTATAACCTAAAAGCAAATGATTCTTGTAATTAAATTTACAAGCTTTAAATTTGTTTGATTTTAACTTTATTTCAGTTAGTTAGGGAATTTTGATTACTTAAAATGTATGGCTGATTTAAAAAATGCTTTCTTCTTTTAAACATGCATTGATAAATATCTTTTCTTTTTGATGGTGTAGTACACATCAATTTTAATTCATCATATGTATCTGTACATATATTTCCATTATTACATGTTGGTCTCTGATCATAGGGATACACTTGATAATAATTAAATCTCATTTGACATTTTTTTATGCTATGTTGCATTTGCCGTTTTAAATGTCGTTTTAAGGGACAATACTTCCTTTGACACTGACAAGTTTGAAGTTTGATATATTGTGAGAACAATATTCCTAATTCATCATAGGTCTCGCTTATTTTAGAATCGTGATCCAATGGATTTAAAATATTTTTATTATTGCAAACTAATTTTTTAGGTATTGCAGTACAATTTTTTTCTATAATAAAATTTGTGACACTTTCATTTCTTATTAATGAAATATGAACAAAGTTTTCGTCAGATTTAGAACTTTTTTTAGATCTTTTTGCTTCTTTTATTTGACTATTTAATATGTCTCCTGATGACTTTATTTCTCTCCTGATTTTTTTTGGGTATACATCATATCCATTTAAACTTATTTGTGATTTTATTCCTTTTAATTCATCTGCTTTAATTGCATTATTTTTATCTACAATATACAGCGAATTATTTTCTGTCTCTGAATACATATTTAACATTTGATCATTTTCTGTTTTAACTGTGTTAGATATACTGGATAGAGTGGAACTAGTGTAAGAAATGGTTGACCTATATAAAATTTTAAACAATTATTGTATTAATTCAAACTAAGTTTAATAAAAATTGTTGCTTATTAAAAACCTTTTCAATCTTTTATGAAACATATTTTGTATAATTTCCGATTTATTCGCTGCAGAATCTGAGAAATACTTTGAATCAGTAGATAAATTTTTTGGTAACAAAGAACAAGGTAAACAATTTAATTTAAAGTTAGAAATTCTATTTGTTTGTGTTTCATCACTGAAGGAATCTGTATTTTCAAATTTCAATTCTATTAGTTTGGAATTAGTATTATTTCGATCGTTAGAATTATAAATATTTTCTGAATTCCATTTGCATAATAATTGTTTATCTTCTTTAATTCTATTTGACTTTTTAGAGGATAATGGTGTTACTAAAAATTTTAGATTTGTATCAGAAAAACAAATATTTTTTTCATTCTAAAACGGAAAGATTTGGCAATCAAGAAATGTATTATATCAAAATTTTAGTATTTATCAATCATTTGATACCTCATGTAAGTTTCTATTAAGATTTTCAATTTTTTTAATTCTTAAGTCTTTGCATCTATACTTCTCTAGATCATCAGTGTTCCACATTTTCAAAGATAACTGCTTTGTTAAATCTATGTTGTTCATAGAAGTCACAATTTTATTCTCATGAGATGCAAGTAATTTTTTCTTTTCCTAGTCATAAATTGTTGCATATAGACATATTTACAAAAACTAAGTTATTGTAATTACTCGTATATATCAATCTTTAATACAATATATTTCTTGTAATACCTGCAAAAGAGTCTTTAATTTACATTTATTTTCATATTTTTTATTCCTTTGACTGTCATATTTCATATGGAATGTTGACAAATTACATGTATCGGGCCATAAAAGTCGTCCTTTTATATAAGAGCTGTTTATAGTTTCTTTTATTATAGAAAAATTGTCATCGATGTTCTTCTCGTTTCGTCGAGTAATATATCTTTACAAACGTAATTTTAGTATAGTATCCGTAACTGAACATATATATAAATATGACAAATACATACATATATTGTATAAACAAAAATATAATGAACCTTTTGCAAATATGAATGATCTTTCCATAGATGTAACGATAGCAGGTTATAAATACAATTATTAGAATCAAAGTGATAAATAATATAAGAAATATTTTCCAAAAATTATTGAAACCACTTTCAGTTTGATCGAGATTATTATAATACCTTTTCTTGGTATCAATTATTTCCAACCTCGTCCGTTTGAGTTCCATGCTTTCTATTATAATAGTTATAATTCAAAATAGGTAATAATAAAATGAAAATACTTATATATAAAGACACTGTTTCGTTCGTAAAGTATAATTCAGGCATGTATTAAAGAAAGTTGATTTATTATTTATTAGTAAAACATCTACATTGTAAAATAAAACACTTGAAACTATTCAATGCATTACCTTTTTTTTGTTTTGCTTATAGATTTCCTATGTTATGAAAACTAACTTTTCAAAAATAATCAAGTTTGTGATTTATAATTTCTATATTAGCACAATAAGTTCAATTAATAGCACAATTACTATTCTTTATACTCAATTACAAGTCGTAGAAAGACTTAAATTATAATTGATACATGTTTCTGTACTTATTCTAAAACTACAAGTCACAAACTTATTTTACACACATATTTTTTTCGCGTGAACATTACAGCAGGGGTGAATTTTTATTGAAGTTTTTCGTACGTTACAAATTACTTTATACATCATATATCTTAATCTAATTACCAGGTAATAACTGAGTGTCAAATTTCATCCCAATTTTAAAATCTGTTTGATTTCTAATGCACATACATTAAAAAGTGTAATTCATTATCAATATTTATAGTTTCTTACAAATTTTATGATCAAATTTTCAAACATTTCATGTTTGTTCGGGACATTCCACGTTAAATCAATCATTTTTGGCAGCATGTCTTTCGATTTTTTTCGCGATTTTCAACATGTAATTTGTTAATAATTTTGAAGCCAACAAAATGATGACAAACTCATCATTACTTCACATAGATTACAACATATTACAGGTTCGTCAAAATCGGGAGATATGATGCCAAAAGTGATCGATTTGGTATGGAATGCCTTGTGCAATTAATAACAAGTATTACACGTATGTATTATGAATGTATTCGGAAAAATAGAAGATAATTGTGATTTTTAAATGTGTTTTGCATGTATAAGTTTGTTTTAACTAATAACGTTAAAAATAAGGCGATTGAATTTTTTGTAATGTTAATTATAATATTTAATGTACTTTGTCAATTTAAAACAAATTAAAAAAATGTGTCGTTTGCAAAATCAGTATTATGTATAGAAGTATAATGAATTAATGATACAATTTGATACATCATGTAAGTATGTACTGAAGCAAAGGCTAATTCTGTTGGCTTCTTAAGGTTATTTTAAGGTCATTTTTCACTTCTTCC